GGGCAGCGCAGCCCACCCAACGTTTCTGGAAGTAACCCCCAGTCTCCCCACAGGTAGCCCAAGCTCGATATATGAGAAGCTCAATTTTTTATTGACCTCTGTATTGTCACATAATTTGAGTGATTTGCATATTTAAAAGAGTTTGTATGGGGAGAGAAATAGAGCCGAAAATTGCGAAAAATTACTGTTGAATTTTAATAAAAATTGCTTACCTGAACCCCAGTGGTGGTTCTTTCGTGTTCAGGTAAGCAATATTTATTTAACTTCAACAGCAATTTTTCGCAATTTTCGGCTCTATTTCTCTCCGCATACAAACCCTTGTAATCACACAAATTACGTGACAGAGAAAAATTAAGCTTCTCATTTAACGAGCTTGGGCTACCTGTGGTCTCCCAGAGTGCACTGCAAGGCATTATAAACATTATGTTGCGTCATTATGCTAGGAAAGAAGTTGTTCTTGAAGAACACTGCGCGAAGGATCGTGGAGCAGACTTGCTTTCTTTCGCGCAGAAAGCAAACTGTAAGCCTTCGGTTACATGGAGGCATGTTTGAGATTTCCAAGCGTTTCGAGCAGGCTAACCAAGCTGCAAATCCACAGGAACATTTGGAAGAGGAGCACGTGAAAGCTGGTCGCAACGCCGAACTTTCGTTCGCGTCTTCTTTGCGTTTAAAGAGTGGACTTGACAGCTCATCGGTGTTTTGCTGCTTGAGGATTCCTGACAAATACCAAGCAAGGAAACGAGAAATCGATGTAGTGGTGCTCAGCGTTGATGGGATCTTTTGTATCGAGGTAAAATGTTGGTCGGGAACTGTAACAAGAAGTGAAGATGGGTCCAAATGGATCCAAACAAGAACCAAACAGGTCTCCACCAACACTTTCGCCACTAAACACATTGAACACGAAAATAGCGTAACAGAGACCGAGACCAAGACTCGCCTGCTTAGAGACTACCTGTGTAGAAAAGACGTTTATGTCTCAGAGAAGTTGTTTCACAGTCGAGTTGTGTTCTGCAACACAAACCTCGAGCTGGATGAAAAGATATCAAATAATAGCACTGTTGTCATTAAACCGAGTGACCATGACAAATTCATTCAAAGTTTTAATCGTGGCTTCTTGAAAAGTTTGCCTGAGGTAGTTGTGCCATCATGGATTTCTGGAAAACTGTCCTATTCACAGCTGAGCCAGATCAGAACCGTACTTTCTGCAACTGGGACTTGGGATGTGATTCATTTAAACGGAGGAAGACAGCTTTACGGGGATTTCAAGGAATGCGCGGGGGTTTCTCTCGACCGGCAGATGTGTGAAGCAATGGTGTTTTCGCACCAGAGAAGTCGTACTATGGGTATGGCATGGGCATTGCTCGGCTATACTCCACAGGTTTCAGTATCCTTGTTAGAGCGAGGTGGAACCGGCTGGTTATGGAACTCGTACTGTGCTTCACTGAAAATACCATACAACACTGATGTTGTTTTCCGTATCTGCGGCGAAGAAGTAGACTCGAAGATTCCAGCTAACGATATTGAACGAATATCTATCAGCATATGATAACAGATTGTAGAACTGTTAAGCCATTCATGGTAAAAGAGGAGTGTTCCATAACTTTCTTTTAAAAATCAAAATTTCATGCGTTAAAAACCAACCACACGGAGTCACTTGTGAGTGACACGGTTTGCTGTTGGCGTCGGATCAGTGCGTTAATTACTTTTCACCTGCTGAACTGTGAGACGTTTTGTTATCATGGCGATGGATTATTGAAAACTTGTGGTTACTAAGTTCATTTCTTAATTCCTCCCCCATTAAATATTATTATTGTTAAACTTATAACTTTATTGGTATATTGTGAATCTGTTAGTTTGATTGGCTCTATTATCATTTTTTATTTGCTGTTAGGAAACAGTTGTACACGTGCACATTGCACGCAATGTTTGAAACCCTCAGAATTGTTTGATGTAACACAATTAAAGTTTTTTGTATGCCTAACTTGCCCTTTTTTATTTGGTAAGTACAGGAAAGATGGACACTCCTGCTTTATGAGTTACCTATCAAATACAGTTGAACCCCTTGTAAGCGACCACCCAAAATGTCAAGCCCAGGTTGTCCCTTACAGGAGGTGGTCGCTTACGAGAGCTTAGGTCATATTGGGACAAATTTTGCCTCATTAACATAAGGCATCTGCAGAGACTTATCCATGTGTTAATATTTTATTCATGTGAAAAGTCGATTTCGATAAAAAATACAGTACTCCCCATTGAGAAATTTCCATCTCTTGTACTATCCAGGGGATGCGATAATGCTACAACACCATATGATCCACTTTTGGTTCTATTATCTGTTAAGTGGTTGCTTACAGAAGGTTAAAACAAAAGAAAATTTCAAACTTTTAGCACTGAAAGTGGTTGTGGTCACTTACGAGAGGTGGTCGCTTACAAGAGGTTCCAAATATAGTGATTTGACTTGGAAACTTTTCGTATTTTGGAAAACTGGTAACTGAGGAGGGGTGGTTGCAACCAGAGGTTCGACTGTATGGCTCAAACTGTTAGAGTCAAGGGCTCAAAATTAAAAAAATTCTCGAGTGGCCATTTTATTTGGAGATTAAGTGATAAAAATCAACTAGGAAGAAATAACATCTGTAAAGAAAAAATTTCCAAGAGTTTTTTGGTCCCCAATTTTGTATACGTTGTATATGTCTACCAACACATATTACAAACGATCCATTCATTACAAGAGACACAGTCCTTAGGCATACATGACATACTCAATGCTCAAGGGTTTGCAATGCATTATAGGACGAATTTGAACACAGTCAGCTGTTTGGAACTTTTCAGATGTGAGAGAATCCTATACAGCAAAGCAAAAGGATGAGCAGACTTCTTTTCTTACAATGTTTTAAGAGCAAAGACCTTTCACTATGTATTTCTGGAAGGACATGATGCCTGAGACGGAATAACTACTATTGATCGTCAACACAGAGAAACATAGTTGACATTATGGCGACTGAACCAGAATTTTTGGTTGCCAAAGATGCAATGTTAGCCACATTGGTGACACTATCAGTCACAATTTTGAGCCCTTTAACAATGGAGCTAACCAGATTTTGGCGGACTTGGGCAGCCCAAAGGGCTGCCAAGCTGAGCACCATACAATATAACTATAGGAACAGGATCACATGCATGCATAGAAATAGAAAACCATACAACTCTTTTTTCATAGTCAACATGGCTAGTAGCATGGATCATGGGTGCATGCGTCCAA